ATTGGCCTGATATTGGAGAATCACTCACCAGGAAAATCCATGGAAGATCCACAAAATCACCTGGGAGAGTCAGGGATGAAGGAGAAAACTACATAATGAAACTGATAGACACTCACAGCAAGAATGAAGGACACCATTCTCCAAAGAGCTCCAGGGCAAGGCTATGGGGCTCTGGGATCAATCTGGGGTCCTTTTGCGGGCCTTCCTATTTCTCCAGCAGCACAGACTCTAGTTAATGTGGGAAACACTGAAAAGAATAGGAAACTAGAGATATGAAGTAAGGATCAGAATGTGGAAGAAACAGAAGGCAAAGGAATCACCAGGGGCTCAGTAAGGAAAGCCAGGAGAAATTTGCTTTCATATGAGAAAGGCAACCATGGCCTTTCGATGTCCTTCCCCAAGGACATGTACATAGCCCAGCCATTTGTTAAGGGATGTGGCAGTGGCTTCTCTGGTCCCATGGACAAAACCTGACATACTATCAATATTTCATTATATTGACGTGATTTTAAATTCTGAGTCTTCTCCCCACCTACAGAAGGGAGTACAAATGGTGGTAGCACATCTCTAAGAGAGAGAATGGGCTGTCAGTTCCTTCAAATTGCAAAGACTCATGTTGTCTGCCAAGTCCTTGGGATCGTCTGTTGTTGTAGATGAAGTCCAAGTTTCCCCTACTATCAAACAGCCACAGATTTTCTCAGGAATATTGAGATGCTGGCATTTTACCATTCCAAACTTAGCACAAAGGTTGAAACTATTATATAAGTTAGTCAAAAGGAAAGCCCAGTGGATCTGGGAACTTGAGCACCTTGGAGCCTTTTCTTGTTAACAAAACTGGTTGTAGAACAATTATGTTCTTGGGCACATTCGTCCAAGAACAACTATGGGACAGGATGTTTTTAGCTCCCCTGATGCATTTGAGTGGATGTTGTGGCAACAGCAGGGCAATAAATGAGTTCCCTTAGGACCTTGGTCATGGCTACAGAAGGGAGTGAAGAAGATGGAAAGACATTTGGAAGTGACTGTCACACTTGACTGTGTATCACGTGGTAGCATACAACCATGCTTCTCCACCAGGCAATCCAGAAGAATGACCTAACTAATATTAGATGGCTGCAAGATGTAGCAGCTGAAAATATGGCTGGTTTGGCAGGCCCCAGGGAGAGGAAGCTCTTCAGCCCACAGCAAAGCAACAGGGGTTCTCACCAAGATACTCATGTATATGAGACTTTTGCTCTTTTGCCTGTGCCATGAAGCAGCTATAGCCAATGCCTCAGGGGACAGGGTGGATAACTCATGCACAACAGTGGCAGGTTGACTTCATTGGGCCCTTGCTCCCATCAGAAGGCTACAGGCACTGCAGGCACATGCACAGAATGACGATGGGCATACGCTTGCCGAAGGGCCGCACAGAAGGCAACCAGGCATTGTTTTCAAATGCTTGGCACCATGTGTGGCCATGGACCCCTCAGGACATAGACAAGGACAAGGGACCACTCTTTGCTGACCACATGGCACAAGAATGGCCTCAGAATTTGAACGTATATTGGCATTTTCACTTACCTAATAACCCAGCTGCAACAGGCTCAATTGCATAAATGAATGGCCTGCTAAAACAGCAACTAAACATGGAGGATGGATCCTTGGCAGTGTGTACCAAGTGACCAAGTAAGGATGGTCATCAGGACCGCCAATGAACGTGACCGCAGCACACGCTCCAGTGCCTCCTTGATGTCAATACAAGAATCCGAGGACATCATCTGGATCCAAATGATTATGCTTAAGAAGGACACCTGCACTTCACAAATGGAAACACGGGATAAGTTGCTGTTGTCACTGCCACAGGACCTGCCACAGTGAGCCCATACAATCTCCTGGCTATGGGAATAGCAAATGGGGATTTGATGGTGTGGGGAAAGGAACTAGAACAAGACAAAAGCAGAAAAAAATTACCAATCCAAGATCTTTTATCCCTGGAGGAGAATATGTCATTTCATTATGGGCTTCCCCACCAAAGCCTCAGGGTTCACTGGAACAAGAAATATGTTTTGTAAATCTGGGGATGAGTCACAGGCTGGTTCTATTCTCATTCAGAATTATCAGTTTGCTTATATATTGTTGAATATTCAAGATCCGCTGGTTTTAACACCTGCTAAAAATGTCTAACGTTTCATCCTTAGAGCTAATCTATTTGCATAATGGGCAAGTATCCCCAGATTGCCAGACATATCATAAGGTACCTCTGTCCTCCTACACTGGTCTTGCAGCTACCTTGGTGAAATGGAAGTGAATGTTAAGCTGAAATAACATGTACCACCAGGCAGCTGGCAAAATGCCCTATAGACTTGAACTTGAATTTACTCTTCTTTGTCTTCCACTTGGTATGGGAACAAATGGACAAGACCAAGCCTTTCTGTGGTATACTCTGATTGACAGGTTGGGGTGGCTAAGTGAATGAATATGAAAGGGAAATTTTCTCTCTGTATAGGAAAAAAAATGGCTTCAATACCTTTCTACTCTCTGTAAATATGGGTTGGACCCCTGTCAATCGGCATCATTTAGCCATTATACTCAAAGACACTGACTATTTAGGATGGCAAAGTTGAACAACATGTGAGGAATATATCCTGACCCTTGGGGGCAGTTATGGACATGTGGCATGTACAGGTGGCCATACCTGCCTTATAACTGGATTGGCCAATGCACTTAGAAAAGATTTTATATACTTCCCACTTTATCTACAATCCCTACTAATTAGGACTTTATAGAAACTAAACATAATGTAACTTGAGCTGCCTGGTGGCTTTACCCACTTATTATCCCTTCTTCTGAAGCAATAAGCATTAACATTGAGTTCCAAGTTGAAGCATTAGCTAAGCACGCTGCTGCTGCCTTAAATACTACTCACGGAGCCAAAACCGTGCTTAATAAAGAAACTACCCAAACGTGGAAGGTGGTGATTCGAAGTAAAAGGCATTGGTTATGTTGGCCAAAGCACAGGGAGGTGCCTGTATCCTTATAAATACTGAATGTTATGCGTACACCCCTCATGATGATCATAACATTTCCTTGGCTCTACATAAATTGCAAACCCATATTACTGCTGTAGGTAAACTTAGTCCTAATCCTGTCTCTGCTTGGTTACAGTCTCTTCCCCGCACCTGGAGATACGTTGTACTCAGTCCACTTGCTCTTAGAGCAGAACTGTTTACCTTCTGTTGCTCTTTGTATGACTATTGTGGGATTTGGCTACACTGTAACATCCTTTTGTGCCACTCAAGGGATACTGTGGAAGATGGAAGATTTTAAGTACATTTTACATGGGAGATGGAATGTACCATCCTTAAAGAAAAGGGGGGCAGTAAAACACCATGACACTGAATGCATCCCTTTGTTCCAACAATCTAGCTAAGTCAATGGATCAGTGAGAGTAAGCCAGGGTTGGAAGGTCCAAATATATTATCTTGAAGAACCCTGGCATTCTCTTATGCACACTGTGAACTAGAGCAAGTTAGTGCTGCCTATAGAAAACCACTTTCCTGCATGCACAGCCGCTCCTTGGGATGCTGGTCAGACAAGCAAACAAAGAAGGCTAATGCTAGTGACTGCTGCTGCAGCCCAACATATCAAACCTTCTCTCAGGGATGACTGGCATGAAGTTGAGGGCACTGTGTAAAGGATACATGTCACTTGTCCAGTTGACCACCACTGGACAAAACACTGGAAGGAGTCACTCCTTAGCAAAGCACCCTGAGGAGGAGAGGTGCTGTCTGTCTATCACCATTGAACTCTTCTTAAGCAGCCGCTGATCTCTGTACACTTCCCCCAATAAATCCCATGCCTCACAGGCTATCTCTGGATACTTCCTCTGGCCTGTCTGCAACCTACCTCACTGTTCTGGCACAATTGGGCTGTGGTGATGACAGGAAGAAAGTAAGGACAGAAGGTTGGCTGCATGAAATGGATCTTGTTAGAAAACAATGGCTTAGGTATAACAAGTATGTGGCAAGGTGAATCAGCTTGGCAAAGGTGGACTTTAGTCCAATTACTCACAATGGAATGGCCAGGCACAGCTGTTCTCCCAGAGACTTGGGAGGCTGAGGCAGGAGAGTCATAAGTTCAAGGCCAGCCTCAGCAATTTAATAAGACAAAAAATATTACAATTAAAACAAAAACAAAAATAAATGAAAAGGCTGGGGATGTAGCTCAGTGGTGGATCACCCTTAGGTTCCATCCCAAACGCCACAAGAAGAAAGAAAGAAGGAAGGAAGGAAGGAAGGGAAGGAGGGAGGGAAGAAAAAAGATGGAATGGAGCAACTGAAAACCTGGAACCCAAGTTGAGGTGAGAGTAGATTTGGGAATCTTTAGCTTAGAGGTGCTAGTCCTCCAGGGACAAGGATGTAGAAGAAAAACGGTGGCACAAGAATCTCAGGGTTCAAGTGATCCTTCCATCTGGGACAAAAAAGGGGAAATAGAGCCCAGGCAACCAGAGATATAAGGAGAGGACCAAGGATGTGTGAATTTATGGAAATCAAGGAAGATGAATTTCAAGGTATCTGTAACAGTGACATCTGTGTCACAAAGAGGTGAGAGGAGAGGATATTGCTGGGTTTTTTGGGGGAGGGGGTTGTTTGTTTTGTGGTTGGTTTCATTTGTTTTTTGGGCACTTTCTACAGACAATAGTCTTAAAGCAATTTAGGAGAAAGGGAAGAAGAAAATTCCAGTCTGATGAGGATATCAGCGGGGGACAGCGGTGAAGTTTGGTGAGGACTCTCAGGATGGTCAAGGCGAGACAGGGGTGGGTGTTGAAGGGTAGTTTTCCTGCATGGCCTGTCCTGGGTGAGAGTCCCCTAGGAGCATATTCCTCCCTGTCTATCAGTGGACACAGTAGCTCTGGTCAGCCATTTAACCCATTCCCTCCTCCTGTTGTCGAATGTTTTTATGAAGCAGTCGTGACATGTACTTTACGATGCATAAACATGAATGAGAAACACCTTTACTATGCCGGAGAAATAAAGTTTATTGGGAATTCAATGAAGTAGCCTCCCTGCATTCCAGAGAAGGAAGGAAAGCAGGAAGAGGCAGAACGTACAGGAATCGCCCTAAGTAATACCTGGAGCCCAGATTACGGGGAGCTGAACAAGTCTCAACACCAAGGAGTTTTCCAGACCTTGGGAGCTGATGACGTGAGCGTGAAGCATGGCCCGGTCTAGAAATCACAGTTGGCATGAAGAGATTTCTCAACGGCCACTGAGCCCTGGCAAAAGGACCTGGGGATGGTTCCTTAAATGGCTCCACTGATGTCTTCAAAGGGGATGCAAGTTGTTCAATTAAGAGCAACACTTCTGAGAGCTGCTACAGGGTCCACAGGAGTTGCCAGTCGCATTGGTGGTAGCACATGGGTTGCAGGGGAGGCTGAGGGGACACAGAGGTTTAGAATGCATGGGGGAGGAGAGAGAACCCTAAGTTGCACATACTGCCTTGGTCATAATGAGACAACCTACGATTTCTCAGTGGTTGGAATTAGAATGGAATTTTGACTGTTACCAAATCCTTCTCTCTTTCCCAAAATACCATATGCAGGGTCAGAAAATTCTTCTTTTGAAAATACTATCTCATGCTCTTGAGCTCTCACGGAATTTAACACAATCTACCTTAGGTATCAAATATTGTTTTAACAGGCAATCTCCCGGCCACAACCTCTGCATTAGTAGCCCCCAGTGGCAGGGGACATTCCCTTGGCCTTTGCCTGTGCACATCGGTTGCATACAAGACGATGAATGCACATTGTTTAGGCAACCATGTGTGTGCCCCCGGAGTCTGACACTCCCACCATACCCATCATCCCAGAAAACCTTCTCCCATACGCACTTGCAGTCCTCGCTGTCCAGCAGGCTCCGGTACGTGTTGATCTCACACTCCAGCCGGGCCCGGACGTCCAGCAGCACCTGGTACTCCTGGTTCTGACGCTCCAGGTCAGCCCGAATCTCGGCCAGCTGGGACTCCACGTTGGTGATCATGCACTGCACCTGGGACAGCTGGGAGCTGTAGCGGGCCTCGCTCTCTGTCAGCGTGTTTTC